GACAGATACAACAACTGACAATCACATGTTTCACATCCTCGTGTTCGGACAACTCTCAGCTACAACATTATCCACTTCAATTTCAGTTCAACAGACCCAGGTTCAAACAACAAACCACAATCTGACAAATCGTCATAAAGCACATGTCGAATCAAATGTTTGCTTTGGCGTCACAAGCGCCTTCAAAACAATAAGTAGCCCTGCTGTCAGCACACCATTAGAAAGCCCTCCCCGAGCTGAACACAATGCTATAAGGCTGGTATCGCTACCTCTAAAACTCGCTGACCAAGCCGCAGACGAATGCCAGAAAACAAAGCAGTAAAACATCAGCGTTGGAGTAAAAGTTGACTTACTTTTGCTGTTTTTTCATCACAAGTCATTTCCGTAGGAATAAAAGTCCGTTTTTTCTTGTATTCAACCTCATAGTGAGGCTTCCACACCGATCTGGCAGATACCCGTTACTTCCTCCTTCTGTAAGAGGCCCTTTGTGATAGGCTGCACCCGTGCGTCATGTCACGTACCTCTGTGTATCTCTTCCTGTGATTGGCCACAGGTGCTGTCCATCAATACGTTTTCAATGGTTTTTGATAGCCGAAGGTGTCTTCTTTCCAAAATGGTATGACATGCCCTGATTGGCCAAAGTACCGCGGAGGCGTGGACATGCGTATAGTTGGGGCAGAAGGAGGCTGTGCGCAAACCCTTTACGCACGGCAGGTACTCGGAATTTTGACGAAAGTAAAAGATGGCAAAACAGCGTTATACACGCGAGGAGGTTGTAGAGCTTCTTGCTAGGGAACCGGGTGCCAAAGTTTATCTCGATGACTCTACAGACATGTTTTGTGCCATTTGGCACAATTTTGGCACAGTTGGATTCCGCCTGGACTTTTTTTCCAATTCCATGTACAACTCTGCAGTGGTTTGTTTATTTGGCACATTTTTTGCTGGACTGGTCCAAAATATCGGGAACTGTCAATTTTTGTTCTTATTTGCTACACCACAGACAGGGAAAAAGCTTTTTTGAGGGAAAATATGTGTTTTTTTTTTAGGCGGAAGTTAGAATTGTCTGTTTCAACCTCATTTTATTGTCAACCAATACAATTTATCATCTTTATTTCACTTCCACAGCAATCTCCAAGGTCCACCAGGTAATTTGGTACCAAGTTTGGCCACATATCTGGCTAAATACTATATGAAACCTTAGTAAATGTAGATTATAGCTTTTTCGGGAAAAAAGGCCTCTGGGCTTAAGAGGTTAACTCGAGGACACTACTAGAACTCCCAGAGCACTCATTTTCAAGTAACGGAAAATTAATTTTGGATGTGCTTTGCAAATTATATTCAGCCCCCATTCATTAATATGGCTTTGCACATCTGTCAGATTGGATGGAGAGGAAAAAAGAACCAAAGTTCCTAGATTTTTACCGTTTTTCGGAAATGTCTGGACTCGGACCGGGCCATTCTCGCACTTCTGTTCTGTCTTTATATTCAGGCCCATTGTCCAGATGGAAGAGACACGCCCACCGCAGTAGAAACGGTATTTTGTTCGGTATTTTTGCCCAATCAACGCCGACCCTCTTCCCCGTCCTTGCTGAAGAAAAGCAGCCCCACAGTATGATGCTGCCCCCACCTCGTTTCTGGACACTGAGGTTGGTTTTGAGCCGTACGTAATAATAATATGTATTTGGACCACAGTTAAAGTAGTACTAGAATTTAATATGCTGCTATCCAGAATATATAACTACAATATGTGTTTATAATATTTCGGGTGTTCATTTTGACATGTTTAGATGAATTATGTTTAAAAAACGGCTTTCAAGTGGCACCTTTATAAAAACGCTAGGGGGAGCCAAAATGGCGGCGATGACGTAGGGGAAGGGCATCTCACAGCAGCAGACAGCAGTCTGGTTGGAAACTGTAGGAGGTTTCACTGTCATCTGAACAAGGTATAAACATATTCATCCGTTTTGTACATAATAGTGTGCAACTCTTTTAATCTTTTAGCCTTATTTGTGAGATTCAAGCTAATTAGTGTTGGGCAAGTTAGCTAACTCTACTTGATATCATAAAACATGCTAACAAGGCTAATATTCGTGTTTACATTATGCCAGTCTCACTTTGGTTGCCTTGAATTTATTTACCACAATGTACATTGTAATATTCAAAAATGCTAATCAAAATAACTTGAATTAAATAAATATTTTACTTTTATGAACAAAAATCTGCAGAAGTTGAAAACATAGACTACATGTGATGCAATCATTGATAAAAATGCTAATTAAACCGTTAATAGGTGTTAGCATTTATGGATATTACAATGTACATTGTGGTAAATAAATCTAAGGCAACCAAAGTGAGACTGGCATAATGTAAAAACGAATATTAGCCTTGTTAGCATGTTTTATGATATCTAGTAGAGTTAGCTAACTTGCCCAACACTAATTAGCTTGAATCTCACAAATAAGGCTAAAAGGTTAAAAGAGTTGCACACTATTATGTACAAAACGGATGAATATGTTTATACCTTGTTCAGATGACAGTGAAACCTCCTACAGTTTCCAACCAGACTGCTGCTGCTGCTTTGAGATGCCCTCCTCCTACGTCATCGCCGCCATTTTGGCCCCCCCTAGCGTTTCTATGCGGAAGTGAAAAAGTGCCACTTGAAAGCCGTTTTTTTAACATAATTCATCTGAACATGTCAAAATGAACACCCGAAATATTATAAACACATATTGTAGTTATATATTCTGGATAGCAGCATATTAAATTCTAGTACTACTTTAAAACTCTGGTCTTGTTTGTTCTTACCCCGTGTACAGATTCCCCCAAGGGCAGTTCTGGATGTCTGCAGCTCCTCCAGAGTAACCATGGGCCTCGTGTCTGCATCTGTTGTCTTTGTTTGCGCCGTGAGTTTTGGGCAGACAGCTGAGTCTTGGTAGATTTGCAGTTGTGCCATTCTCTTCCCAATCACAAACGATGGATTGAACAATACTCTGTGAAATATTTGAGCAGCTAACGGAGATCAGAAATGTATTTATAATCTTTAACACCAAACACAAAGACAAAATATATAAAATCTTTCTATATACAGCACTACCCAGGCATCAAACTATCTATTGGTATCTTTGTGATACAATTTAGCTACCAATAAAATCTTCTCTGAGGCACTTTCTCTGTCACTCCAATCCAATCAAATATCTGTCTATGGTCATGAGGAATTAATACTTTTTCAAGACACATTCTGACTATTTTATTTCGGTATTTTAGCCGTTGAAATACTTCTGTACCCATTTACAGTAGACATGGACACAGACTGAGCCATGTGAGAACCAAACACTATGTTGAAATGTGTTAAAGGTTGTAATGAAGTGTTTGAAGCCCGACATTGTTCCGATCAGAGCGAGTAATGAATGCAAAGCGTCTGCGGGTCACTGTCGCAGGAGGAAACACATGCGTTCATGGCTTTAATCCGCTGTAATTAGTCAAATGAGGACCGGCCCTGAGCTGGTCGGGGGTTTGGGGCCTTGGCACAACCCAGTCCTGGTCCCACTGGGCTGGACCGACTCTACTCACTGCTGCTACTGCTGCTACGAACACTGCTGCTACTACTGCTATACTGCTGTTACTGCTGCTGCTACTGCTATCTGCTACTACGAACACTGCTGCTGATGCTACTGCTGCTGATGTGACTGCTACTGCTACTACTGATGCTACTACTGCTACTGCTGCTATACTGCTGTTACTACTGCTGCTGATTCTACTGCTACTGCTGCTGTTACTGCTACTACGCACACTGCTGCTGATGCTACTGCTGCTACTGCTGCGGCTGCTACTGCTGCTGCTACTGCTGCTGCTGCTGCTACTACTACTGATGCTACTACTGCTACTGCTGCTATACTGCTGTTACTACTGCTGCTGATTCTACTGCTACTGCTGCTGTTACTGCTACTACGCACACTGCTGCTGATGCTACTGCTGCTACTGCTGCGGCTGCTACTGCTGCTGCTGCTGCTGCTGCTGCTGCTACTACTACTGATGCTACTACTGCTACTGCTGCTATACTGCTGTTACTACTGCTGCTGATTCTACTGCTACTGCTGCTGTTACTGCTACTACGCACACTGCTGCTGATGCTACTGCTGCTACTGCTGCGGCTGCTACTGCTGCTGCTACTGCTGCTGCTGCTGCTGCTACTACTACTGATGCTACTACTGCTACTGCTGCTATACTGCTGTTACTACTGCTGCTGATTCTACTGCTACTGCTGCTGTTACTGCTACTACAAACACTGCTGCTGCTGCTGCTGCTACTGCTACTGCTGCTGCTGCTGCTGCTGCTACTGCTACTGCTGCTGCTGCTACTACTACTGATGCTACTACTGCTACTGCTGCTATACTGCTGTTACTACTGCTGCTGATTCTACTGCTACTGCTGCTGTTACTGCTACTACAAACACTGCTGCTGCTGCTGCTGCTACTGCTACTGCTGCTGCTGCTGCTGCTGCTACTGCTACTGCTGCTGCTGCTACTACTACTGATGCTACTACTGCTACTGCTGCTATACTGCTGTTACTACTGCTGCTGATTCTACTCTACTGCTGCTGTTACTGCTACTACAAACACTGCTGCTGCTGCTGCTGCTACTGCTACTGCTGCTGCTGCTGCTACTGCTACTGCTGCTGCTGCTACTACTACTGATGCTACTACTGCTACTGCTGCTATACTGCTGTTACTACTGCTGCTGATTCTACTGCTACTGCTGCTGTTACTGCTACTACAAACACTGCTGCTGATGCTACTGCTACTGCTACTGCTGCTACTGCTAAATAAAATGAAAACAGTTCATTATGTCTTTTTTATATTTAAGGATTAGAAGGTTCTTTGAATGCGTCAAAAGCCTGGCTTAAACTACAACTACGACTCCTGCTGCTACTATACCCCTCCTGCTGCTACTTCTACTGCTGCTGCTGTGTGTGTCCTTGGAAGCCAAATCTTGATCAATCCATGAGTAACTACTACAGGAAAGATTGGGGAGTGACATAAACAGAAAGACAAAACATTTGGTGTTTTCATTTTGCCCCCTCCCCACGGAACAGCCCCCTCCCCACGAAAACAGCCCCCCCCCACGGAACAGCCCCCTCCCCACGGAACAGCCCCCTCTCCACGGAACAGCCCCCTCTCCACGGAACAGCCCCCCCCACGGAACAGCCCCCTCCCCACGGAACAGCCCCCTCTCCACGGAACAGCCCCCCCCACGGAACAGCCCCCTCCCCACGGAACAGCCCCCTCTCCACGGAATAGCCCCCTCCCCACGGAACAGCCCCCTCTCCACGGAACAGCCCCCTAGAGTAGAGTTCCAGTTGCGTTTGGTCACATCATTACTGGGCGGTACGGTGGCTGAGTGGTTAGCACTCCCGCTTCTCAGCAAGAAGATCCTGGGTTTGAGTTCCGGTTGGAACAGGGTCTTTCTGAGTGGAGTTTGCATTTTCTCACCGTGTCTGCAGAGGTTTCCTCCAGGTGTTCCGGTTTGCCCTACCAGCAAAACCGACACGACCCGTTCATGTTTTGGAACTGTTGTGCTGCCCTCGTGGAAAATGACCCGAAAAGATTGATTAAAAGTAAAAATAACCTAAATTAGGCTTTTTGGGGATTTTTTTGTCACTGTGGTGGTTCAAACTCACCCGAGGACAGCTCAAAGATAACATTACAATAGTTCTCTTCAGAACTTGCCTCGGTGCCACTGGATACGTTTGCTTCGACCTTCAGACCAAAACATCATGTGGAAAATCACTGACTTCTCCATTCGGTTGTTTTGGCTTCATGTAAAAAGTTCAGTTTTCACATTATTGCACAAAAAGTCTAATAAAAGGTCCATGATAAATTTGGAAGTCTGCTGCTGCTGCCCCCGCGACCCGGCATCGGATAAAGCATAAGAAAGAATATATACATGTAATACTTTAGTTTTGTCCCGTCAGAAAGAGTCAAGCGGCCTTCAGTAGAAAACCTGTGATCTCATGCATACTTGTAAGAAGAGCCCTGTGAGTCACTATTTGACCCTTCGAGCTGAGAGCTGATTGGCTGAGGCCGGTCCTCTCTAACAGAAGCCATAAAAACGTTGATCTGAAAAAGGCATGTGGTAGAAGCAAACTTTGGGTTGCATAGTTCAATGGGTAGTAGTTATTTTGTCTGCACGGTGGCTGAGTGGTTAGCACACTTCAGAGCAAGATGGTCCTAGGTTTGAGTCCACTTTGAGACTGGGCTTTATTGAGTGGAGTTTGCATGTTCTCCTTGTTTCTTTGTTGATTTCCCCTCCTGCATAAAATAGTCCTGGTCCCTCGGTCTGGGCCCAGGCCTCAAAAAGAGGACACAGGGGTTTTGTCGCCACATGGAGTCATATTTGGGGATGTCTGGTCTGTGTAGATCCTGCGGGGCCTGAGGCTGCATGTTGGCCTTCTTCCTACTTAGAAGGTGGATCCAGCTGATATCTGCACTAAGTCCTTCTCTCAGCTCAAGCGCTGTACAAACACATGCTAACTAGCCCGCTAAGAACGTACAAGCGGCTAAAAGACACTTCCCAGTAGCTCCGGATTAGCATTAGTAAAAAGGCCTAAACGAAATAATTACAAGAGGATCAAGCCCAAATGATCTGGTGCTCTCTCCGCGAGCCAGATTATAATTCTCCTCCAAGCTCCGCTCAGCCTCGAGGGGAGCGCCGCCATCACAAAAGCCTCTCATTAGCATAAATTTACAAGCTCTCGGCTCCTCAAGCAGCAGTCGATAAGAACCTGTTCCACCTCTGCACCTCCACCTCTCCTTTATGACAGATAATTCCGGTGAAAACGATGGCTGGATGATTCCCGGGAGGTGTCATCTACGATAATCTTCAAACAAGCGTAGTCCGGTCTTTTCAGGGGGGAGGGGGGTGCGTGTTTTCGAAGTGATATAGCGCAGATGACAGAGGGAATTATGCGCAAGAGGACAAACGCGTAGCATCGTATTAGGCAACCGGTGGTTTGAAGACTGGGGATAACGGGGTAATGGATGAGGCGGATACTCGGGCTGGCAGGCGGGACGGGGGAGCCGGAGGTGTGTGTGTGTGTGTGTGATGGGGGAGTCAGAGGTGTGTGTGTGTGTGTGTGTGATGGGGGAGTCAGAGGTGTGTGTGTGTGTGTGTGTGTGTGTGTGATGGGGGAGCCAGAGGTGTGTTTAGTAGTAACACGTGCTAACATGTACAGTAGCATCACATGCTAACATATACAATAGCATCATAGCTTCATTACTTATACATACATACAGTGCCTTGCGAAAGTATTCGGCCCCCTTGAACCTTTCAACATTTCTCCACATTTCAGGCTACAAACATAAACATATAAAAATTAATTTTTTTGTCAAGAATCAACAACATGTGGGACACAATCGTGAAGTGGAACGAAATGTATTGGATAATTTAAACTTTTTTAACAAATAAAAAACTGAAAAGTGGGGCGTGCAATATTATTCGGCCCCCTTGCGCTAATACTTTGTAGCGCCACCTTTTGCTGCAATTACAGCTGCAAGTCGCTTGGGGTATGTCTCTATCAGTTTTTCACATCGAGAGACTGGAATTCTTGCCCATTCTTCCTTGCAAAACAGCTGGAGCTCAGTGAGGTTGGATGGAGAGCGTTTGTGAACAGCAGTCTTCAGCTCTTTCCACAGATTCTGGATTGGATTCAGGTCTGGACTTTGACTTGGCCATTCTAACACCTGGATACGTCTATTTGTGAACCATTCCATTGTAGATTTGGCTTTATGTTTTGGATCATTGTCCTGTTGGAAGATAAATCTCCGTCCCAGTCTCAGGTCTTTTGCAGACTCCAACAGGTTTTCTTCCAGAATGGTCCTGTATTTGGCTCCATCCATCTTCCCATCAATTTTAGCCATCTTCCCTGTCCCTGCTGAAGAAAAGCAGGCCCAAACCATGATGCTGCCACCACCATGTTTGACAGTGGGGATGGTGTGTTCAGGGTGATGAGCTGTGTTGCTTTTACGCCAAACATATTGTTTTGCATTGTGGCCAAAAAGTTCGATTTTGGTTTCATCTGACCAGAGCACCTTCTTCCACATGTTTGGTGTGTCTCCCAGGTGGCTTGTGGCAAACTTTAAACAAGACTTTTTATGGATATCTTTGAGAAATGGCCACTCTTCTATAAAGGCCAGATTTGTGCAGTGCACGACTGATTGTTGTCCTATGGACAGACTCTCCCACCTCAGCTGTAGTTATCTGCAGTTCATCCAGAGTGATCATGAGCCTCTTGGCTGCATCTCTGATCAGTCTTCTCCTTGTTTGAGATGAAAGTTTGGCGGGACGGCCGGGTCTTGGTAGATTTGCAGTGGTCTGATACTCCTTCCATTTCAATATAATTGCTTGCACAGTGCTCCTTGAGATGTTTAAAGCTTGGGAAATCTTTTTGTATCCAAATCCGGCTTTAAACTTCTCCACAACAGTATCTCGGACCTGCCTGGTGTGTTCCTTTGTCTTCATGGTTCTCTCTGTGCTTTAAACAGAACCCTGACTTTTTTCTGGGTAGCCCTCGTGAATTTAGTCTGCAGTACCACAGCGCCCCCTGTGGCCATAGGTAGGACAGCTCTAAGCTAGTAATACCCTATCCAGTTATTATTATAGATCCTCACTTGGTGATATTACAAGCTGTGGTTGAGCGCGATTAAGACCCATATTTGTTGTCAAAAACATAATTTATGACCCATCCTCTCAGCTGTAGACATGTTGATTGTAAAGGAAATATGTTGAACTTTGTAAACCGCAATAAACAGAGAAAACATTTTGATAGCAGCGCACGGGCCTCTCCCACAGTGAGCTGTGGGCTTTTACGTCTCTCAAGTGAGGCTCGCCTCACAGCGCTCTGTCAAATATGTGATTTCAAGGTAAAAAAAAAAAATGAAATAAGGAAAAGTTACATTGAATTCATGCAACAGCACTCAAAGAGCAGGTGCATTTATACGGAGACTTGATTACACTCTGGTGCATTCTATTTATCATCATCAGTCATTTAGGACAACATTGGATCATTCAAAGATCCTCACTGAACTTCTGGAGTGAGTTTGCTGCACTGAAAGTAAAGGGGCCCAATAATATTGCACGCCCCAAAAATTTTGTTCCACTTCACGATTGTGTCCCACTTGTTGTTGATTCATGACAACATTTTTAATTTTTATATCTTTATGTTTTAAGCCTGAAATGTGGCGAAATGTTGAAAGGTTCAAGGGTGCTGAATACTTTCGCAAGGCACTGTATATGCAGTGACGTGCAGTCAGATGAGGCAGGTGGGGGGGGCCCGGCCTCACCTAAGATCATGGATAAAAAAGAATAAAATGGAAACAATAATACTTGGTCTCTATATCAAGTGATTTGTGCTGTTGCATGAATTCAATGTAACTTTTCCTTATTTCATTTTTTTTTTTTACCTTGAAATCACATATTTGACAGAGCGCTGTGAGGCGAGCCTCACTTGAGAGACGTAAAAGCCCACAGCTCACTGTGGGAGAGGCCCGTGCGCTGCTATCAAAATGTTTTCTCTGTTTATTGCGGTTTACAAAGTTCAACATATTTCCTTTACAATCAACATGTCTACAGCTGAGAGGATGGGTCATAAATTATGTTTTTGACAACAAATATGGGTCTTAATCGCGCTCAACCACAGCTTGTAATATCACCAAGTGAGGATCTATAATAATAACTGGATAGGGTATTACTAGCTTAGAGCTGTCCTACCTATGGCCACAGGGGGCGCTGTGGTACTGCAGACTAAATTCACGAGGGCTACCCAGAAAAAAGTCCCATAGAACTCAATGTAAACTAAAACAGCTCGACCTCAGCTGACAGAGAACCTGACAGAGAACCTACAGCTTTCATAAAGATCAGATTTTGTGGGGATTTTAGTGTCCCTTGTCGTCCTGAACTTTTTTTCTTCTTTAATCTTTCGGTGTCTTTAAACTTTGTCACAAACTCTGCTCCTTTCCTTCCCGCTCTGACTCCGCCTGTATTAACAAAGTAACACCTGTTGTAAGATCTGGCAAGGCAAGGCAAGTTTATTTATATAGCACAATTCATACACAAGGCAATTCAAAGTGCTGAACAAAATAAGAAAGCATTAAAATCATAAATAATCACAGAACATTAAAAAGAAAGATACAAATATAAAATCCCTCAGTTGTATGCACAGCTAAACAGAACTGTCTTTAACCTGGTTTTAAACATTGTCAGAGAGGAGGCCTGTCTCACATCTTCAGGAAGACTGTTCCAGATTTTAGCAGCATGAATCTGAAAAGCAGCCTCCCCATGTTTAGTTCTGACTCTGGGCACTAACAGAGTCCGGGCTGGTTCATATGGGACTAACATGTCACTAATATATTTTGGTGCGAGGCCATGGAGAGACTTGTACACAAGCAAAGCTGTTTTAAAGTCTATTCTCTGAGCCACAGGAAGCCAGTGCAGAGACCTGAGGACTGGACTAATGTGGTCGTACTTCCTGGTTCTAGTCAGGACTCGAGCTGCTGCATTTTGAATGTACTGCAGCTGTTTTACAGCCTGTTTGGACAGACCTGTGAGCAGGCCATTGCAGTAGTCTAACCTACTGGAGACAAATGCATGGATAAGAATCTCCAGGTCTGCTTTAGACACTATGTTTTTGATCCTGGCCATGTTTTTTAGATGGTAAAAAGCTGCTGATGTTACTGATTTGATGTGGCTATTAAAATTTAAGTCTGAGTCCAGTATTACCCCTAGATTTCTGACCTTGTTTGAAGGTTTTAGGGAGAGAGACTGTAGGTGACAGATGACGCTCTCTCTTTGTTTCTGGGGACCAAAGACAATCATTTCAGTTTTGTCTGCGTTTAGCTGAAGGAAGTTGTTTTGCATCCACCCACTGATCTGTTGGATACAGTGAAGGAGTGAGTCCACTGGTCCATGTTCTCCTGCAGTCAGTGAGACATAGATCTGAGTGTCGTCTGCATAGTTGTGATAGGACACTTTGTTTCTGCGTATTAACTGACCTAACGGCAGCATGTAGAGATTGAACAGAAGAGGTCCCAGGATCGACCCCTGTGGTACTCCACAGGTCAGGGCCATATGATCTGAGACACAGTTTCCAATCTCCACAAAGTACTTCCTGTCCTCAAGGTAAGACCTAAACCAACTTAGGGCGGTGCCAGCGACTCCAACCCAGTCCTCTAGTCTCTGTAAGAGGATCTCATGGTCGACAGTGTCAAAGGCAGCACTTAGATCTAACAAGATTAAGATTGAGACTTTGCCTGCGTCAGTGTTCAGCCGGATATCGTTTGTAACCTTGACGAGAGCAGTCTCAGTGCTGTGGTGGGGTCTAAAGCCGGACTGAAACATATCAAATGAGTTGTTGATTATAAGAAATCTAGTAAGCTGTAGGTAGACAACTTTCTCAAGGACTTTCCCCATAAATGGCAGATTTGAGATGGGACGATAGTTGTTAAGTACCGTAGCATCGAGACTGCTCTTTTTTAGCAGGGGCCTGATGACTGCAGTTTTCAGGGCCTTTGGGAATATTCCAGAATGAAGGGACATGTTTACTATCTGTGTGAGTGAAGGTATCAGACTGCTCAGAACAGACTTCAGAAATCTAGTGGGTAGTACATCCAAGCTGCATGTGGAGGAGCTCAAACTGGAGATTATCTCTTGGACAGTTTTATCATTTACAGGTGCAAAGTGAGTTAGCTCAAAGAGCCTTTCTGGCTGTTGGATGGTTATCTGTGGATTGGAGACAATGGCGTTTTTGATGCCTTGAACCTTGTCATTGAAAAAATGTGCAAACTCATTACATTTACGTTTGGAAGTAAGCTCTAATGGCATTTGAACAGGGGGGTTTGTTAATCTATTAACTGTTGAGAACAGAACACGCAGATTGTTGCTGCAGCCTTCAATCATTTCAGAAAAATACCTTTCTCTCGTACTACGTAGCACCCGGTTAAACTCGCACAACTTATCTTTGAAGATCTCGTAATCAACCTGGAGGTTGGACTTGCGCCACTTCCGCTCGGCCCTTCGGCACTTTCTCTTTTGTGCCCTGACCGAGTCTGCTTTAGCCCACGGCGCTTTCTGCTTATTTTTCACTATTTTAACCTTCACAGGGGCAACGGTATCCAGAACATTCAAAGCACTAGAGGTGACAGAGTTAAACAGTTCATCTACAGTAGAATACGATGCATTCTCAAAGTTTATCATTCCCATAAATAGTTCACTCGTATTTTAATTTATGTGTCTTCTTCGTACAGTTGCAGAGTCCACTGGTGGTTTGTTAGTGAAACACATGTCAAAAAATACACAGAAATGATCCGAAAGAGCAACATCGACCACGTTTACATTTGAAATATTCACCCCCTTAGTAACTAACAGATCTAGAGTGTGCCCTCTGCTGTGGGTGGGGCCACTTACGTGCTGAGTGAGATCAAAGGATTCAAGTACAGAACTCAGCTCATTTGCATTTCTGTCATCAACATTTTCCACATGAATATTAAAATCACCTGTAATAACTAAACTATCAAAATCTGTGCATACAACTGAAAGCAACTCTGTAAAATTATCAATAAAACTGTGACATGACTGCGGTGGCTTGTATAGGACAATGAAGAGTATTGGAGGAGATTGTTTTTGTTGTATTTTAAAAGACACATATTCAAATGATGAAAACTTCCCAAGAGACATTCTATGGGAGACAAAGTGGTCTCTAAAGATCTGTGTTCTGTCTGTTCTGACCCGTGTTCTGTCTGTTCTGACCCGTGTTCTGTCTGTTCTGACCCGTGTTCTGTCTGTTCTGACCCGTGTTCTGTCTGTTCTGACCCGTGTTCTGTCTGTTCTGACCCGTGTTCTGTCTGTTTTGACCCGTGTTCTGTCTGTTCTGACCCGTGTTCTGTCTGTTCTGACCTGTGTTCTGTCTGTTCTGACCCGTGTTCTGCCTGTTCTGACCCGTGTTCTGTCTGTTCTGACCCGTGTTCTGTCTGTTCTGACCCGTGTTCTGTCTGTTCTGACCTGTGTTCTGTCTGTTCTGACCTGTGTTCTGTCTGTTCTGACCTGTGTTCTGTCTGTTCTGACCTGTGTTCTGTCTGTTCTGACCCGTGTTCTGTCTGTTCTGACACATGTGTTTGAGGTGGTCCGTTGTGGTCCGTTGCGTTTAAGGCGCAACAGGAAGTCGGCTTTCTCAGGACCATCAGCCGTTCTTGCACAAAGAACCTGAACTTCTTGCCTACAATATTTATTAGATTATTTTGAAAAAAATGTGCGATACCTTTATGTTGAGACAAAATCATGAGTCTACAGACGACTATTGCCTCTGGTTATTATTTACAAACACAGAAACAGTTGTAACGTGGTAACAATCTATTTGAAAGAATTGTGACTACAGTGTCTAGATCTCGTACCCCCAGTCCCCCTCCCCTCTCCAGTCCCAGTCCCCCTCCCCTCTCCAGTCCTAGTCCCCCTCCCCTCTCCAGTCCCAGTCCCCCTCCCCTCTCCAGTCCTAGTCCCCCTCCCCTCTGCAGTCCCAGTGTGGGGCCCCTCCCTCCCCAGCGTGGCGGAGCTTAAACAGATGAAGTTCTCAGCAGTAGGCGAGAGCTCTGGTCCAGGCTGTGCAGATTTCAGTCGACTTAAGTCTGACGAGTCCCTGAAAAAGTCCCATTAGGAAAAGCCAGAGAAAAGAGGCGTCTCAGCAGCTTTCCCTCAAGCTCCTTAAGAAGAGAGGGTTATCTGGATGATGTCCTCCTCACTGTCACATGGGGTCACCCTCTCACTCCAGCTCTTATACACTCAGAATATCCTCCAGAGACCGCCTTCGCACATCCAGGGCTGGGTTTGGACGCAGACTCCATGATAGGATATTCACTTCACTTAAACCATGTCAATTACATCCTGACTGTTATTATCAGTCACCGACAGCAGGTTATGTTCAGGTCTTCTTCAGTGTCAGATCTCCTCACTAGCACCCAGGTCCCTGTGCTAAAGGCCAAAAAGGGAATTTTCTTTCCTGAATGTTCTTTCTCTTTGTCACAGCCTGAACTCCAGCTCCAGGTCATATTTACACGAGGAACTTTCCTGATGCTCGTTTACAGGTGAAGGGCAAGAGTTCCAGGTGTGAAAAGGGTCCCATCGGAAACAAGATCCCCTTTGATGGTTCTGGGCCACAGAACACAGTGGAATGGTGCTTGTTTTAATGGTTTCATGTTTTTGATGGTGTTGGCTTCTGGGTTTCATACGTACATGGTATTGGGTTTTTAAGATAAGTCTCTGGGTTTTGTTAATTGTAAATGGAGTTTTAACTTTTATAAAAACCCATTGTATTTGAAGTCTTTTACGACTCAGATTCAGCTGCATGAACCTCCAGAGGAAAGGTTCAAGACCTTTGTTGTTCTGCTGCTGCAGAAACACCTCCATTTTCTCTTGAACTACATCACAGATTCCAAACCGTGGCTCAAAGACAGACCCCTCTGTCTGTGGGAGCGGACCCTCCGTCTGTGGGAGCGGACCCTCCGTCTGTGGGAGCGGACCCTCCGTCTGTGGGAGCGGACCCTCCGTCTGTGGGAGCGGACCCTCCGTCTGTGGGAGCGGACCCTCCGTCTGTGGGAGCGGACCCTCCGTCTGTGGGAGCGGACCCTCCGTGTGCTCTCTGAGGGTTCTCACTTTTCTCCCACTGGGTTTACACTTGTTCCTCGTTGATGCAGGAGGCTCTAATTCTTTTGGTAGAATAAATCCAAAGCACTTGTTTGTTCCTTTTTGTCTTTACATCCTCGAACAGTCGACACTTTTACTCTGCAGGTCTTTTCATGTTTTATTATTGTCTTTTAGGACACATTGAAATCAAAGTGAATCACAGTTTGAATATTATCAAAACAAGATGTTGAGTCTATTTCCTGCTGTGACCTGTTTCAGCAGTAAACATTTAGCATTCCTCCAGTGGGTTTTCACCTGGTCCACTTGGTTTGGACCATGAATCCTCTCTGCTCTGGTCTGGGCCAGTGTAAAACCATGAATCCTCTCTGCTCTGGTCTGGACCAGTGTAAAACCATGAATCCTCTCTACTCTGGTCTGGACCAGTGTAAAACCATGAACACTGTACTGCAGCAACACCTCAGGCAGAAAAAAGCACACAAAACAACAACAGTTTCAGAGACACTTAGGACTCGCTGCCGGTTCCAGAACATTCTAAAGTAAACAGACTTATGGACCAATAGAAAGATAGATACAACGGCTCTGTGTGTTTTTTATCAGTGCATTTCTTGTTTCTGAACAGTTTGATTCTCTGATCTGTGTTGTTCAACGGTTCTGTTCACTCCTCGAGGGACCTACTGTTGTTACTATGGTCTATACAATAATACATTGAACTTAAATGACTGTAAAATACATCCGTCCACACGAACCAAGCTCTTTACATCCAAAATGTCTTCAATGTCTGTTTTAAAACTGTCTTGGTGTGGACTTTTTGGATGATTTGTCCTGTTGTTAGCCCCGCCCTAATGTGATCCACCTGTCTGTCCTGTGGTTAGCCCCGCCCTAATGTGATCCACCTGTCAGTCCTGTGGTTAGCCCCGCCCTAATGTGATCCACCTGTGTGTCCTGTTGTTAGCCCCGCCCTAATGTGATCCACCTGTGTGTCCTGTTGTTAGCCCCGCCCTAATGTGATCCACCTGTGTGTCCTGTTGTTAGCCCCGCCCTAATGTGAGCCACCTGTCTGTCCTGTGTGTGTTTATACCCTCTACTTTTCCCACTTGTGCGTTCATCGTCTCCTCCATCTTTGTCCCTGTCTAGTTTTTCAGTTCTGGAATTTTCTGCTTTTTCTCACTCTGGATTTTACTAAATGACATTTTCTTTTCAGTCTTTGCATTCTGAGTCCCCTTTTCCTTCCTTTCCCCACGTGACAAAAAATACTTTCGCAGCTAAACTCTCGCACCGTCTTCAAAAACACTTCTCCACAGTTTATTCTCTTAATCCTCGAGTCGCACCGAACTTTGCGACCTGTCATCGTAAGTAGCATTAGCAACTTCCTCGCACTTTGCTCGTCTTTTGAACCGCAAGCTTTTGAAGACCTCCACATCCACATCCTCCTCAAAGCGCCTCTGCTTCTAAAGTGTTTGCGGCGGCGGCGGAGACAGCTCTGCGCCGCTGCTAATGCGCGTGAAATACCCCCCGCTCCACATAAACGTTATTGACAAACTTGGCTGGACATTTGGGGCCGTGAAGTGCCATCGCTCGTTGCATATTCATGTGCTTTATCCGCCGCCGATGCCACGGATTGGCGAGCCGTGTCATCTCGCCACACTCCAGCTCCCCGCCAAATGTATAGTGACACTGATTATGCAAATCTCTATCTTGTTTTCACCCCGATACCTGCATTAGGAGCCCGGGACTTTATTGAAGTTGAGATATGGGACCGGCTCGGAGGAACTAAGTGGAATGCTAATAATCTTTGGGAATCTTGAGCGTTCTGAAGGTTTGGGGCTCGTGAGGAGTTGGTTCTGTTACGTCGGAGCTGCGTCTGTGCGGCTGCAGCGATATGACCCGCTGAGAAAAACATCTGCAGTGTAATGTCAGCTTTAATATGTGAAACTATGTCTAACATGATTTATTCACTTAAATATAGTTTTGTTTGCTCATTTCTGTACTTTTAACCTTATTTATTTATTTTCCCATCACAAAGTCCCATACATTTCGTGTACATATTTGTGATTTGTGAAAAATGGACTCCCCGAAAAGCTCTGCAAAGATTATTAAATGGGGTCCCACATTGTTTAAACATAAATAGTTGCAAGAACAGAAAAAGTTTAGTTTGAGTTTAGTTTAGTAGCTTACATCCACATACACACTCTTTTAACTACAACCTGGTTTTATTTATGTGCTTGTCTGGTGCACACTGGGGACTTTCGTGGATGTATTCCAATGGGGTTTTACTGCAAATGGCAAATGAATGAATCTGAATCTGTCCCTTTCTTTGTCACATCATCGTCAGTCCAGAGTTTGTCCGAACACAGCCATAGCTCGTAGAACCACTTACAGTATCTGCCTGTCAAAGCCTGATCCATGCAGATCTCAGAGGCTAAGAAGGGCAGGGTGTGGTTCGTGCAGTGATGGGAGACCGCTGTAAGATCAGGCTGCAAAAAGTGATGAAAAAAAGGTTAAAAATGGGTCAGATTTTGCAAAATAAATCTTAATTTTGGGGGAGAGAGAAGAGGAAGAGAGAGGGAGAGCAGGAGGAGAGGAGGAAGAGAGAGGGAGAGCAGGTGGAGAGAGGGAGGAGGAAGAGAGAGAGAGAGCAGGAGGAGAGAGGGAGAGCAGGAGGAGAGAGGGAGGAGGAAGAGAGGGAGAGCAGGAGAAGAGAGGGAGGAGGAAGAGAGGGAGAGCAGGAGGAGAAAGGGAGGAGGAAGAGAGAGGGAAAGCAGGAGGAGAGAGGGAGGAGGAAGAGAGAGGGAGAGCAGGAGGAGAGAGGGAGAGCAGGTGGAGAGAGGGAGAGCAGGAGAAGAGAGGGAGGAGGAAGAGAGAGGGAGAGCAGGAGGAGAGAGGGAGGAGGAAGAGAGAGGGAGAGCAGGAGGAGAGAGGAAGAGCAGGAGGAGAGAGGGAGAGCAGGAGGAGAGAGGGAGAGCAGGAGGAGAGAGGGAGAGCAGGTGGAGAGAGGGAGGGAAGGAGTAGGGGAGGAGGAGGAGAGGAGCCGCTGGATTAACACGTTTTAAAAAGTGCTGTTTCCGACACTTTTGGGAATAAAAACCTGCGGCGGTTTAAGGTAAAGACGAAGAGGATGAACCTGACTGACATGAGCCTCTTATTCCAAACATCTGTACTTAGAACTTCTCACTATTTTATTATTTAGAATTATTTTATTTATATGATGTCGTCTCTCTTCAACCTCAACCTGAAACCTCCTAAAACTGTATCAAGAAAAAACCTGCTACTGTAGCCACGGCTGCCAGACAGAAGATGCCATAATGTGCCATGTGCCGTTATTAGTATTTAACACGTGGGTTTGACTCGTGGACATACACACATTATTTATAGTATGTATGAAAAAAACTGTTTTAAGAGCGACAAAATATCAGTTCTGTGGAAAATATCCACATCAAGGTGCGAGTCAACTGTTAAAGTGTCTCATTCTGTTATTAGAGTTTAGTAAATCAGTTCCACAACAGGGTGACTTTGGCCCCTGGATAAAACAAACTGCAGAAATAAAATCCAACATGGTGCGGTGTAATTGAAGGCCCGCCGTGATAAAGACGGTCATTTGAACAGAGATTCTCCCAAAATGCATTGTGTTTTAACCTTTAATGTTCGCTCCAGAAGAAAGAAAAGATTCAGATTCATTTATTTGCCATTTGCAGTAAAACCACATTGGAAAAACTGTGCAAGACTACCCCAGTGTGCACCAGACGACACACACCAGAGCTCTTGCCAGATTTTCAGATGTGGGAGGATGAATATTTTTTAATTATAGGCCTTTACCAAATGGTTGAGGTGTAGTTTGTTGGTAAAGTGCCTAAGACCAAGTGATAGAGAAGCAACAATGACGGATATTTCAGTTCCAAGCTTCAAGTAGATATAGAGACTAAAAAGGTGACGTAGAGTTTCAGAGGTGAAGCTCCTGATGCAGATGGAGCTAAAAAAACAACTTGAATGTGTTTGTAAATCTTAAAATCTCCCGTAAAGAGCACGTGTCCTCTGAGCCGCTGCAGCTCGTCTCGGTCCACAGCAGCATTGATCGTTACAAACTCATCCCTGATACATATTTAGACTCGTTCTTCTTCTGCTGCGTTCTTCTTCTCTGCAAACGAGCCCTGACAGAACCTGGCATGGATCTGCTCATGGAGGCGGCTCACGTTTATGAGAAAATGCATGGATGAGTTTATTAATACCGCCTGTCTCGGCCAATCTGGAGGTGAGTCTGCGGCGGAGTCAGATGTGATTTGGTTTTGTGCGTTGCTGGTATTGCGTTGTGTTGTTATTGTATAGGAGTCTAAACACGGTGTCACCTCCTCCATGAGCCTGTCAGAACGACGGTGATGAGGAGGAAGCCGGCCCTCTGCCAGCGCCGAAGAGGAGCTGTGTCGGAGCGAAGAGCCGCGTGAACTAAACCATCGACAGTTTCAGATTCAGAGTATTTGCTGTTTGCAGTCCCCAGTGTGCACCAGACAAGGACATGAAAAAACAAACAGGAAACAGTTGAAAAAAACAATTGTTTTAGAACAAGCAGTGCAAGATCATTAAAGTCTGTTAAAACTGAAAACAGATTGTGGAAAGAAGCTGTTAATGATATCTTCTGCCAGAGGGAAGAAGCTGGAACATGGCTTTTCCAGAGGCCAGGGGAGTCACAAATTATTCTTAGTGCTTGGTTTAAAAGTCTGGATTTATAAAGAACCTCCAGAACCATTAAACAAAGAAACTTGCACCATACGCTCTACATCACTGCAAAAAAATAACAAAAAATAAGGGAATAAATGCTTGAATCAACAGTTTTTGTCTTAATCTGAGCAAATGTTGACTGTATAAAAACGGGATGTGTTTTTATACAGTCAAAAAAACTCATCCTGTGTGATTTTTGGGACAAGCAAAAATGTCTGTTTGAAAAGGATTCAAGAAATGTATCCTTTAGAATGAGAAATAAATTGCAACTGCGCTTGACAAAAGAGTAAACGCTTGTTCCATCTGCAAATCTTGTTTTCATACAGTCAGAATAAACTCAAATTAAGATAAAAACCCTTGATTGAAGCATTTATTAGCTTATATTTTGTATTTTTTTGCAGTGTGCATTTATCTACTGTCCAGAAATCATCAGACAGAAAACTATCGGTCACAGTCGACACGTTCCATTCCACCCCAAATGTAAATCTGTGGATTCATCCCAAATGTTCATCAAACCTCGGATCAAGGACAAAGAACAAATGATTTTGAAGTCGATCCGGATCATGCTCTGGATTATTACGCACCTTTTGGCAGAGGTCTGCACTCTACGAGAGCTTTTTTTACTCAAACATTTCTCTCGGGGCCATAAACCACACGTCCTCCTGGTGGACGACACAGAACATCTCTCTCTTCATTATGAGTCTGGAGCCCCCTCCCACAGCTCCCGGGGGCCCCTGAGCGTGACAGAGGCAGGCTGTGCAGGGCCCGGTCTGGATCCTGATTGGATTGGGGCCGAAGTCTCCAGGTGCCAGGCCTGTCTGAGCTGACACTGACAGGGCCCCTCCACACACACCTTCATTACACGCCATTTTTATTTTACAGCTGGGCCTCGCCACACACACACACACACGCACATACACACACACACACGCACACAGACACATACACACACACACACACACGCACATACACACACACACACGCACACAGACACATACACACACACACACACACAGGCACATACACACACACACTCACATACATACACAGACACATACAGAAACACACACACAGAAAAACACACACGTACAAAAACACACATTTAAACGCACACACACAGGCACACCCACACACGTACACACATACACAGACACACCCAGACAAACACACACACATACACACACACGCACTAAAACACATTTAAACGCACACACACACATACACACTCACACGCATACATACACACACAAGCACACCCACACGTACACACATGCACAGAAACACACACACACACACCCACGTACACACACACACACGTACACACACACACACACGTACACACACACACACAGGCTGGCGGTGTTGCCCTCTTTAGCCTCAGCTTTGATCGCAGCCTTTACGTTGAGCTGCAGTGGCTCAAAAAGGTTGTGGAACACTGCTCTATGACAGACGCTTCCTCCTGACGGCCATTTTGTCAAATCAGCCCGTGGTGGTCCTCTCTTCCCTCTCGTGGTCCTCACTTTTCTCGCGCTGAAAAGTGAGGACCACTCTTGTCTTACATGGTCCTCACTTGCCTTATGTGGTCCTCTCTTGTATATTGTGGTCCTCTTATGGTCCTCACTTGTCTGTAATGGTCCTCACTTGTCTGTAATGGTCCTCACTTGTCTGTAGTGGTCCTCACTTGTCTGTAATGGTCCTCACTTGTCTGTAATGGTTCTCACTTGTCTGTAATGGTCCTCACTTGTCTGTAAGGGTCCTCACTTGTCTGTAATGATCCTACTTGTCTGTAATGGTCCTCACTTGCCTCTCTTGCCTGTAATGGTCCTCACTTGTCTGTAATGGTCCTCACTTGTCTGTAATGATCCTACTTGTCTGTAATGGTCCTCACTTGCCTCTCTTGCCTGTAATGGTCCTCACTTGTCTGTAATGGTCCTCACTTGTCTGTAATGGTCCTACTTGTCTGTAATGGTCGTCACTTGTCTGTAATGGTCCTCACTTGTCTGTAATGGTCCTTGCTTGTCTGTAATGGTCCTCACTTGTCTGTAACGGTCCTCACTTGTCTGTAATGGTCCTCACTTGTCTGTAATGGTCCTTGCTTGTCTGTAATGGTCCTCTCTTGCCTCTCCTGGTCCTCACTTGTCTGTAATGGTCCTAACTTGTCTGTAATGGTCCTCACTTGTCTGTAAAGGGTCCTCACTTGTCTGTAATGGTCCTCACTTGTCTGTAAAGGGTCCTCACTTGTCTGTAATGGTCCTCACTTGTCTGTAATGGTCCTCACTTGTCTGTAATGGTCCTCACTTGTCTGTAATGGTCCTCGCTTGTCTGTAATGGTCCTCTCTTGCCTCTCCTGGTCCTCACTTGTCTGTAATGGTCCTCACTTGTCTGTAAAGGGTCCTCACTTGTCTGTACTAGTCCTCACTTGTCTGTAATGGTCCTCACTTGTCTGTAATGGTCCTCACTTGCCTGTAATGGTCCTCACTTGCCTCTCCTGGTCCTCACTTGTCTGTAATGGTTCTCACTTGTCTGTAATGGTCCTCACTTGTCTGTAATGGTCCTCACTTGTCTGTACTGGTCCTCACTTGTCTGTAATGGTCCTCACTTGCCTCTCCTGGTCCTCACTTGTCTGTAATGGTTCTCACTTGTCTGTAATGGTCCTCATTTGTCTGTAATGGTCCTCACTTGTCTGTACGGGTCCTCACTTGTCTGTAAAGGGTCCTCACTTGTCTGTAATGGTCCTCACTTGTCTGTAATGGTCCTCGCTTGTCTGTAATGGTCCTCTCTTGCCTCTCCTGGTCCTCACTTCTCTCTCCTCTTCCCAGTTCGACTGCGACACACGACCACAGAGTAACACATCACTGTGAAGTCCTGGAGGCCCGTCGCTATGACAACTGTTTGAGCCCAGGTGTGTGTGTGTGTGTGTGGGGGGGGTAGGTGTCAAGCACAGCCATCACCGGACGAGACACACACACACACACATACACACACACACCTCTTCCGTAATCCAGCTTTAATTGAGCTCTGGAGAGTTGGGGTCGGAGCCCGGTTTTATCCCGAGGAGAAATCAAAAACGTCTGCGCATTCTCAGCTCCGTCCCGTCATCCTTCGTCTTCGTCTTCATCTTCCTCACTGCGCTCTGCTGTTCAGAAAACTCAGCAGTCTTCCTCATTTAAACTCCTAAACACAACCTTGACAATAGAGACTTGTAAATATATTTATCTTTTGTGGGGCTGAGAGATGGTAAAGCAAGTTTAATTGTATATTCAAACTATTTATTCTTGTATAGCCCTAGATCACAACAGCAGTGATCTCAGAGGATAAAGCTGCTGATTGGCCAACACAGATTAGAGAAACAAACAGTTCACACACAGAAAATGCATTAATTGAAAACACATAGATCTGTTGGAGATAATTGTGTTGTCATTGTGCAAACGAGCCGATTGTCCTGTTGTCTTGTACATTTGTGTCCATCAGCACCGTGAGACAGACTTCCCTTTGGAGACAATAAGGTCAAACCGTGACCCCTTAAAAAAGAAAATATTTCTTTCAGAATAATGGAAACGGCGCAGTAGGACACGTTTGTTCAAGTTTGCGACAGAACTGATTACTTTGTCAGAGTAGTTTAGTGTAGCAGCAACACCTGACTTCGTGTCCCAGCAGGAGGCCAGTCCCTGTGCTCCTCAGAGTCCCAGCAGGAGGCCAGTCCCTGTGCTCCTCAGAGTCCCAGCAGGAGACCAGTCCTTGTGCTCCTCAGAGTCCCAGCAGGAGACCAGTCTCTGTGCTCCTCAGAGTCCCAGCAGGAGGCCAGTCCCTGTGCTCCTCAGAGTCCCAGCAGGAGACCAGTCCTTGTGCTCCTCAGAGTCCCAGCAGGAGGCCAGTCCCTGTGCTCCTCAGAGTCCCAGCAGGAGGCCAGTCCCTGTGCTCCTCAGAGTCCCAGCAGGAGGCCAGTCCCTGTGCTCCTCAGAGTCCCAGCAGGAGACCAGTCCCTGTGCTCCTCAGAGTCCCAGCAGGAGACCAGTCCCTGTGCTCCTCAGAGTCCCAGCAGGAGACCCGTCCCTGTGCTCCTCAGAGTCCCAGCAGGAGACCAGTCCCTGTGCTCCTCAGAACTAGCTCAAGTATCACAAACACATTGGATTTTCTTGACTTATCTTGTTATAATCATGGTCCATAATCAGAGCTAAAGGTGAGTATGACACCTCTGAGCCAGTCTCATCAGTTGGATCCACACCCTCCCCCATCCTCCCCCATCCTCCCCCGTCCTCCCCCCGTCCTCCCCCGTCCTCCCCCATCCTCCCCCCGCCGTGGCCGCCAGCGCGCGTCTGTATTCTCACCTCGGGCTCTTGGATTTGGGCTGTGATTCCGGTGATGAGGCCGAGGAGGTGCTGTCAGCGGAGTGCGAGTGTGATCTCACTAATGACCTCCGCTCAGGCCAGAGGAGCAGGAGCAGTCGTATTGACTGCCGGCCCCCGGGGGTCGTTCGCGCCCACATTATTGCCCTGATTGAGGTTTACGAAGCCGCTCAATATGTGTTAAACGCTCAGCCTTTGTATCAGAATGGAAAAATGAGCCTAATAGTTTTCATAAGGGCTTCTTTATTGAACAAACTTGGATCATTTCAGCTCCAAAAAAGTTATTAGTGACAGATTTGATTGTGTTAATTGAGATAAAAATGCAACGTAAATGAACCACCAAGAATCAGTGCGTCTGAAAGATGGGAACGGTCAGAACAACGGTGACGATGAGGATTTGTAGATGTTATAGGAGGATCTTGGAGTGACGTCGTTGTTTACAGTTTTTCCGCTCTGGTCACGTGACCGGGTGGCAATACAGCATAGAAAGCTCCTGTATGCTAGAGAGTTAGTTTTAGGCCCTGTCCACACGAAGTCAAGCTCAGGCCTAAACGCAAAAATACTTTATCAATCCAGTGTATCGTCCATACGAGGCCGGCGTTTTGGGGGGTGTAAACGAACATTTTTGAAACCAGGTCCCAGAGTGGAAAGATTTCAAAACTCCGTATATGCCGCTCCGTGGTTACTGCCTCTCCGCAATGTATCTGAGACGCTTGCGTCATCGCCCCGCCTCTTGTTAAAGCACGCATGCGCCGCACTCAGAAAATAATGACAACAACAATGTAGCTTGTTGGTTTTGTAATCCAGTGTGACCCGAAGCAACAGTTCAACCTCATCGTCCGTCCATACTAATGTAGTACCAGCTCGCACACTCGCCATGTTGTCTGTTTACAAAATTCCGCGCATGCCCACGGAAGTTTGGGCTTGATCCTGTCATTGCGTCACAGCGCCACCAACAGGTCTGGCATAGTTTCACAGCGTTTTCAGGCGTATTGACTACATTCATATGGACGCACACATTTACTGAGCTAACTCCGTGTTTACAGAAAAAGTTTCTGAAATTATAAGCGTTTTGTCTTCGTGTGGATATAGCCTTAGACGTTTGGAAAGAGGTTTTACTAAAACAAATGGTCCGTTTCTGTTGTGTGGTCGGTGGTACGGCCCGCTGGGGACAGATTACGTTTTTATAAACATTCTTTGAGAAAAGAACAGCAAAAAACGGCCGCGGTAAAGTGGTTTCCCTTTTAGGCTGTTACCTACGGTAAAGGTAGAACGTGAAGCCGGGGGATGAGGGGATAAAAATTCATGAACAAATTTAAGTTTTGCAACTACTTTCATTCATTCATTTGTGATGATTAATTTTAAACATTACATTTTGGTTGCTCATCCCCGCGGCTTCTGTTCGTCCTTTACTGTAAGTAACAGCAAACAGGGGCAGCCCGCTTTTGATGTGCGGACCACTTTACCGCGACGGCGAAATGCCAGGCCACTTCACCGCGGTGAAAAACCACGGGCCCTTCTTGAGTGAAGCGTCCCGGGTTTTCTATGAAGTAAGAATAAATATGTACGAGTCCCAGTCGCAGCAGATCGGTGCCAAGACAGAGTCTGACCAATGTTTCTTCTCGTCATCCCAGGCCTCATCTGGGCTTTGGATCTGTTCAGTTTGGTCTCATATACTTATTTTTTTGCTTGACTTTATATCTCCTCTGATCTTCTTGTGTTAAAATGCTTGTATAAAGTGCTATTGTTAAAGTGCTTATATAAAGTGCTATTCTCCCGCTGAGTCTTTTAAAAGTACTCGTCGCATCCATGCTTCAGTATGGGCCTGTCTTTTTACCACACAGCGAGGGGCACATATGCACACGGGTGTAAACAAAGATCCTCCGTATGTGATTATGATTTAGGGCAATACAAAGATACATTGAATTGAAACAAAGGTAATTATCACAGAACAGACGTCCACAAAGTTTAACCTTTTTGAAAAGAAGCTGAACACAAAGTCCTTGTTTTACCACAGTTTCAGTATCCACAGATATAGATCCATTGGAAATGTGCAGCTGATGAGGTTCTTTTCAAAGGTATTAATAGTTTGTTAAGTACTTTCTACAGACACAAAGCAGAAAACAGTATGTAGTTCTTCTAAAAGATTTTCAGTGGATTAAGCCGACGATGTTTTGTGAAGAAACCTGCAGAGGATTCATCTACAGCTCTACGTCTGTTGCTAAGGAGACATGATGCAAAATCCACTTTTTTGACTAGAGCTGCGTGATATTGGTAAAGAGTGAGAAATGCGACGGTGGAGGTTTAAGGAGAACCAATGTTAACGATAACAATACACAAAGACATTAGTTTTTCATTATAAAAAACAAAATTGAAATAACTTTTTTTGCTGTCACTGAGCCACTATCTGAGGTTGCAGTGGCTCAGTTGGTAGAGCATTGGCCTTTGGGCCTGAAGGTTGTGGGTTCGAGCCCACCACAAGATCTACTTCACGATTCCCACTGATGACTGCTGTCGTTGTGTCCTTAGGCAAGACACATAACCCCACTTTGCCTGAAGCCCCCGCTGACAGGTCAAGCCTCCTGTGGACTCAGCACCTGCAGGAGGATCAGTGAGGGGCTGGTGCTCTGTGGACTGGGAGCAGCTCTGACTGCCACCCCCCCAACCCAGAAATGGATTAAGGGGAAGAAAATGGATGGATGCCTTGAAGTTAAAATATAATGTTATTTCAGTCACAACAGGTGAAAATAAGTTTATACATGCTACAGTCTAAAAATCATTTCATTTTTTCAGGTAAAGTCCAAATGTAAAATCTCCAGAGTGAGACTTCTTTGTCGTTCTGACTCCGGAAACAGAAACACAGTGAAGCATCTTCCTTGAGCCAGAAACAGATTTAGAGCCTGGTCCAAAACATTGGGACGGGACGTGGAGGCCTCCTGGACAGTGTTTGGGGCAGATCCCAGGGGAAGACCAGGGGAAAACCAGGGGAAGACCAGGGTAAGACCAGGACACGTTGGAGGGACTGCCAAAGTACGTTCCGGAACATGTTTACTTAAATGAGAAACTTTGTATTTTAGATCAGGTTTAAGCAGCAGTTTGATAATGGGAATAAAAGCAGACGATAACAACGGGAAGGACTGAAGGAATGTGGACAAAGGACTGGAAGTATTTTAGTTTTTGCGATTCCCGGGTTGTTAGCATCAGGATTCCTTGGTGTTGCTTTTGCCTGCGACGGCCCAGACTGGTTTGAAGTGCACGGCTCTGGTCAGTGTTGGTGTGCGCTGGCCCAGAATGACATGGCCTAGTTCCTGAGGCCCCCTCCCCCGGTGTGAGCCGCTAACAGGGCTGTCCCAAAGCCCAACACAAACAGCCTCACGGGTCACACGCTCAGACCACGGCCCACTCATGCGGAAGGCCACAGTACTGCTCAGAACCCTCACCCTCCTGGGGCAGCCATGCAGCTACAGCACACAGCACTCTACTGCTGAGGAGGCTCTACAGCTGAGGAGGCTCTACAGCTGGGGAGGCTCTACTGCTGTGGAGGCTCTACTGCTGAGGAGGCTCTACTGCTGATGAGGCTCTACTGCTGGGGAGGCTCTACTGCTGAGGAGGCTCTACTGCTGAGGAGGCTCTACAGCTGAGGAGGCTCTACAGCTGGGGAGGCTCTACTGCTGTGGAGGCTCTACTGCTGAGGAGGCTCTACTGCTGATGAGGCTCTACTGCTGGGGAGGCTCTACTGCTGGGGAGGCTCTACTGCTGAGGAGGCTCTACTGCTGGGGAGGCTCTACTGCTGGGGAGGCTCTACAGCTGAGGAGGCTCTACAGCTGATGAGGCTCTACTGCTGAGGAGGCTCTACTGCTGGGGAGGCTCTACTGCTGGGGAGGCTATACTGCTGAGGAGGCTCTACTGCTGCTGAGGCTCTACTGCTGAGGAGGCTCTACTGCTGGGGAGGCTCTACTGCTGGGGAGGCTCTACAGCTGAGGAGGCTCTACAGCTGATGAGGCTCTACTGCTGAGGAGGCTCTACTGCTGGGGAGGCTCTACTGCTGGGGAGGCTCTACAGCTGAGGAGGCTCTACAGCTGATGAGGCTCTACTGCTGAGGAGGCTCTACTGCTGCGGAGGTTCTACAGCTGAGGAGGCTCTACTGCTGAGGAGGCTCTACTGCTGAGGAGGCTCTACAGCTGAGGAGGCTCTACTGCTGAGGAGGCTCTACTGCTGAGGAGGCTCTACAGCTGATGAGGCTCTACTGCTGAGGAGGCTCTACTGCTGCGGAGGCTCTACAGCTGAGGAGGCTCTACTGCTGAGGAGGCTCTACTGCTGAGGAGGCTCTACAGCTGAGGAGGCTCTACTGCTGAGGAGGCTCTACTGCTGCGGAGGCTCTACAGCTGAGGAGGCTCTACTGCTGAGGAGGCTCTACTGCTGAGGAGGCTCTACAGCTGAGGAGGCTCTACTGCTGAGGAGGCTCTACTGCTGAGGAGGCTCTACAGCTGAGGAGGCTCTACTGCTGAGGAGGCTCTACTGCTGAGGAGTGCAGGGGCCGCTCCTGAAGACCTTCTATGACTCTGTGGTGGAGCCTCTTGTACGGTGTGGTCTGCTGGAGCAGCAGCATCACAGAGAGGGACAGGAAGAAGCTGGAACATCAGGAAGTCCAGCTCAGTCCAGCTCAGTCCAGCTCAGTCCAGCTCAGTCCAGCTCAGTCCAGCTCAGTCCGGGGCTGTTCCCTGGACACAGTGCAGCAGGTGGGGGACAGGAGGGTCCTGAACAAACTAACATCTATGTGGACTATGACTGTCACTGTGTCATTAGGCAAGACACTTCCCCCACTTTAGAATGAGTCTGGTGTGTGTGTCAATGGGCCGATGGCACAGACTGGTTGCCTCACTTCTGTCAGTGTGCCCCAGGGCAGCTGTGGCTACAGTAGTAGTTTATCACCACTGTGTAGTATCTTTGAGAGTCCAAAGAGGTTCTATATATAAAACTGATGCAGTATTATTACTATTATTATTAAGATGAAGAGATCCTGTATTGGTCCCACACTGGGGAAATGCCAGTGTTGCATCAGCAGTTACAGAACAGTTGGAATGAGGAGCACACAGCACCAGATAAATGAACTATATACTCTATACTGAAATAAAACAACTATCTCTAGCTTTAGCATAAGAAGCACAAATGAATTAGTATAAGTATTTAATATTATTGATAGTAATAAATAATAATTGTATTTAAGTAAATAATAGTATTTAAGTATTTCATATTATTATTATTTTGTATAGATAGATGTTGGATACATGTTAACTGAAGTAAAAGTAATAATAGCAAATATCCTGAACCCATTATAAGTCACATTTTTCTGCAGTAAAAACAGTAAAACGAGCGTGTTCCGTCTCGCGGCGCTCTCCGTAATGGACTGTAATTGTTTTTCAGCTTCACACTGTGACTTTGGAAACATTTTCTTCATGTGTTTCGACAGCTGCAGACGAGGCTCCAGCTCCTCTCCCCATCTCTGCTGTCACTCACAAACACTCATCTGTTTTGGGTTGTTACCGCGGCGATGAGAGACGGGGAACCTGGTTGTTACCGCGGCGATGAGAGAGGGGGAAACTGGTTGTTACCACGGCAATGAGCGAGTGGGAACCTGGTTGTTACCGCGGCAATAAGAGACAGGGAACCTGCTTGTTACCGTGGCGATAAGAGAGGGGGAACCTGGTTATTACCGCGGCGATGAGCGTGGAGAGGAACCTGGTTGTTACCGCGACAATGAGCGTGGAGAGGAACCTGGTTGTTACCGCGGCAATGAGCGTGGAGGAACCTGGTTTTGACCGCTGCAATGAGCGTGGAGAGGAACCTGGTTGCTACCGCGGCGATGAGCGTGGAGAGGAACCTGGTTGTTACCGCGGCGATGAGCGTGGAGAGGAACCTGGTTGTTACCCCGACAATGAGCGTGGAGAGGAACCTGGTTGTTACCACGGCGATGAGCGTAGAGAGGAACCTGGTTGTTACCGCGGCGATGAGCGTGGAGAGGAACCTGGTTGTTACCGCTGCAATGAGCGTGGAGAGGAACCTGGTTTCTACCGCAACAATGAGCGTGGAGAGGAACCTGGTTGTTACCGCGGCAATGAGCGTGGAGAGGAACCTGGTTGTTACCACGGCAATGAGCGTGGAGAGGAACCTGGTTGTTACCACGGCGATGAGCGTGGAGAGGAACCTGGTTGTTACCGCGGCGATGAGCGTGGAGAGGAACCTGGTTGTTACCGCTGCAATGAGCGTGGAGAGGAACCTGGTTGTTACCGCGGCGATGAGCGTGGAGAGGAACCTGGTTGTTACCGCTGCAATGAGCGTGGAGGAACCTGGTTTTGACCGCGGCGATGAGCGTGGAGAGGAACCTGGTTGTTACCGCGGCGATGAGCGTGGAGAGGAACCTGGTTGTTACCCCGACAATGAGCGTGGAGAGGAACCTGGTTGTTACCACGGCGATGAGCGTGGAGAGGAACCTGGTTGTTACCGCGGCGATGAGCGTGGAGAGGAACCTGGTTGTTACCGCGGCGATGAGCGTGGAGAGGAACCTGGTTGTTACCGCTGCAATGAGCGTGGAGAGGAACCTGGTTTCTACCGCAACAATGAGCGTGGAGAGGAACCTGGTTGTTACCGCGGCAATGAGCGTGGAGAGGAACCTGGTTTCTACCGCAACAATGAGCGTGGAGAGGAACCTGGTTTCTACCGCAACAATGAGCGTGGAGAGGAACCTGGTTGTTACCACGGCAATGAGCGTGGAGAGGAACCTGGTTGTTACCACGGCGATGAGCGTGGAGAGGAACCTGGTTGTTACCGCGGCGATGAGCGTGGAGAGGAACCTGGTTGTTACCGCTGCAATGAGCGTGGAGAGGAACCTGGTTTCTACCGCAACAATGAGCGTGGAGAGGAACCTGGTTGTTACCGCGGCAATGAGCGTGGAGAGGAACCTGGTTGTTACCGCGGCAATGAGCGTGGAGAGGAACCTGGTTGTTACCACGGCAATGAGCGTTGAGGAACCTGGTTGTTACCACGACGATGAGCGAGTGAGAACCTGGTTGTTACCACGGCAATGAGCGTTGAGGAACCTGGTTGTTACCACGACGATGAGCGTGGAGGAAGCTGGTTCTTACCGCGGCGATTAGAGAGAGGGGAGCTGGCTGCTACCGTGACGAGGGCCCGATAGCCAATTGCGGCCCACTTCTTCCTGTTATGTGGCCCTCCGCCTTGCTAACCCACATTACCATTGAGATTACAAATAATAATAATAATGTATTGGTTAAGTGTAGTGCTTTTTGGACACTCAAAGACGCTATTATTCTTTCGCTCCAAACACGGTGGTGATTAACTACTTCTGCAGCCGCAGCTACGGTCGTGTCATACCTCCTTTAATCTCAAAACAGACCAATTACAGTCAAAATATAGTGCATTGTCGGCCCCTGCACAAGTACTGGTGAACTAAAGTGGCCCTCTTACTAAAAAGTTTGGACACCCCTGCTGTAGATAATATTGATGATGATGATGGCGCCTGTCACCCCCCGAAGATCTTCGCCGTTCCTCGGCTCCACGCCTTGTTCTTGAGCACTTTCCTGTGACACCGGGAGTCGGTGGAAGCGGGAGCCGGCACAGCAGCACTCGTCAAAACTTGTAGCGTTTGAAGCGCGGCAGACTCCGGAATAATTAGCAGCCGGAGCACGTCTGCGGAAAGGAGAGAGGCTTTCAGATCTCAAAAGTGCAACTAACAGGCGCCGAGAAGTGTTATCCCGGCTCTGCGTGCATATTTATACTGCACTACTGCGCCTGCTGCGTTATTGTCAGCTAATTAGATGTAAGGCAGACGCAAAAAACACAGAGGAAATTCATTAAAAAGTGCCCGGTAATGACCTGCCGTGACAGGGGTGACAGCGGAGGGGGGAGAGGGGGGAGAGAGGGGGGAAAGAGGGGAGAGAGAGGGGTGTGAGAGGAAAAGTGCGGCTCTAATTAAACACTATTGCACTTTATTAACACACTGCCACAGCGCACGGCTCCTTGTACAGCGGCGGGAAATCAAAAGTTGGATCGTCTTTGAGCAAAATCTACTATCACCGAAAAGTGTTTAAAGCAAAGAATTATGAAGGCTCGAAGTGAAGTTAAAATATTCTGTGATTTTCAATAGATAGATAGATTGATACCGTAGATAGATAGATAGATAGATACCGTAGATAGATAGATAGATAGATACCGTAGATAGATAGATAGATAAAGTCCATTCATAACAAAGCAAAGACAGTATCATGGTTGGAACATGGAAGTTTGCTGTTTTATCGAAGCAACCGCCACCAGAAAGAAAATATCACATTATCTTTGCCTCGAAAGAAAGAATCTTGTCAAAGTAATGTCTCTGAAAGAATCCAACCACCATTTACGATATTCATCTTCATAATCAATTCCATGTATTTGTGAATGGCATTTTTAGGTGCTCCAGCTTTAATCAGCCAAACAGCATTAACCCCAAAGTATCAAATCTAGAAGTCGACATTTACATCAAAGTGTCTGACAATAACAAACAGAACAAAGGTGGAACTATCCGGGAAGAAATGTGTGCAGACAACTCAGTGGCGCCACCGCAAAAATCAAAATACTAATGAAAAGTAGAAAATTGACTCCGCCCTAACAGGAAGTCGGCCATATTGGATCAAAAAGTCGGACGCCTTTGCCCTCAATGTTGTTCATATGAAACTCTACTTTGTGTGGCCGTGTTGACCGTTACAAAATTAGGAAATAACCTTTACGTAAAAGGTATTATTGTTGTACAGCACTACCCCTAATTTATTTATTTTATTTATACATTATAAATTATTGCTGCTCATAGTAGTTTTGATCAGACAAGTTCAGATCTGTGCTATATCAAAGGTTCAATGATCGTAGATAGTTTTTGATCGACTTTCAGGCTGTAAGAATGTCTTTGCTACATCATATACATTATTTTGTTCAGCACTTTGAATTGCCTTGTGTATGAATTGTGCTATATAAATAAACTCTGATTCTGATAATCGAATCTGCAGTTAAAGCAGCTGTGTGTAGTTTTCCTCCTGCAGAGCCAGTCGGCCTCGGCTCCTGCAGGATTAGCTTAAGTGCTGTTAGCGCTCTGCACACGACATCTCGCTTCAGGTTTTGTTATGTTTCCAAATCCTGGCTCAAAATTCCAGTTTTCTACTAAATCACAGAGCTTAAAGCGTCCTTTTTACAGAGAGTGGTGAGTGCATCAGGCCGAAGACGGATCACATCCCACAGATCTGTGTCGGACAGAGTGAGTCTGAGTCTGTGAGTCTGACCTGTGAGTGACCGCAGTGACACCGTCCTAATGGCTCCTGCGCCTCCTACACTCACTCTGAGTCTGACGTCCTGCAGAGTCCGTCAGAGAGTCCGTCAGAGAGTCCGTCAGAGAGTCCGTCAGAGAGTCCGTCAGAGAGTCCGTCAGAAAGTCCGTCAGAGAGTCCGTTAGAGAGTCCGTCAGAGAGTCCGTCAGAGAGTCCGTCAGAGAGTCCGTCAGAGAGTCCGTCAGAGAGTCCGTCAGAGAGTCCGTCAGAGAGTCCGTCAGAGAGTCCGTCAGAGAGTCCGTTAGAGAGTCCGTCAGAGAGTCCGTCAGAGAGTCCGTTAGAGAGTCCGTCAGAGAGTCCGTTAGAGAGTCCGTCAGAGAGTCCGTCAGAGAGTCCGTCAGAGAGTCCGTCAGAGAGTCCGTCAGAGAGTCCGTCAGAGAGTCCGTCAGAGAGTCCGTCAGAGAGTCCGTCAGAGAGTCCGTCAGAGAGTCCGTCAGAGAGTCCGTCAGAGAGTCCGTCAGAGAGTCCGTCAGAGAGTCCGTTAGAGAGTCCGTCAGAGAGTCCGTTAGAGAGTCCGTTAGAGAGTCCGTCAGAGAGTCCGTCAGAGAGTCCGTCAGAGAGTCCGTCAGAGAGTCCGTCAGAGAGTCCGTTAGAGAGTCCGTTAGAGAGTCCGTTAGAGAGTCCGTCAGAGAGTCCGTCAGAGAGTCCGTCAGAGAGTCCGTCAGAGAGTCCGTCAGAGAGTCCGTTAGAGAGTCCGTTAGAGAGTCCGTTAGAGAGTCCGTCAGAGAGTCCGTCAGAGAGTCCGTCAGAGAGTCCGTCAGAGAGTCCGTCAGAGAGTCCGTCAGAGAGTCCGTCAGAGAGTCCATTAGAGAGTCCGTCAGAGACCAGACTGTTGTAGATCTAGTTTAGACACTGTTCTGTTCCAGTTCAATCTGCAGAGACTATAGCGTAATAAAAGATGTATTGATTGCAAGTTTGTTTGGAGTCTATTAATTACATCACAGATCAGTTCAATTTAATTAACTTTATTCTTGTATCGCCCTAAATCACAACAGCATCATCTCAGAGACTTAACAAAAGCATTGAAATCACCAACACAGATCAGAGAATCAACAGTTACAATCTCCACTTTCTGAGTGTATATGGAGTTTGCATGCTCTCCCCGTGTCTGCGTAGGTTTCCTCCAAGTGCTCCGGTTTCCCCTACCACTAAAAACATGTACAATAGGTCTGGCATGCGCCTCCTGTACTGGCGACCCTGCTCTCTGTGTGGAGTGAGAGACAAATGCCCCATCAAAAAAACAAAAAAACAAACCGCTTTGTGACTCTGGTCTGTGAAAGGCGGTATATAAATAAAGGTTACTTACTTACTTACGACACAGACAGAATATAGAACACATAAGTATTGGTCGAAAGGGAGAGACCAATGTCCATGAATGACATAAATGTCATACATGTAGAATGTTAAAGTGTCTGGATCATTACAGTCCTTCTTGTTAGACACTAACTGTCCAACAGACTCTTGCATCAGAGGAAAAACTCTGAAACCCAGTGGGAAAAAAGTGAGGGAGGAATCCGCTCCACACGGATATAGATCCAGGACCTAGGCTACAGAACGAGGACAAAGGTCATGCAGGGGTTGTAGAACGTGGACAGGCCCAGTGCAGGACTGAAGCTGCTCCAGGCAGTCCAGCAGCTTGACTGACAGTCTTAAGATTTTTAGCCTTCCCTGGGTCTCACCTTTAACCAACGGTGTAGGTTTTGTTCCAAACTTGGTGGGGACATTCACTACGGTCTGAGACTACACCCATTGGCCCTCATTTATGAAACTTGTGCAGAAAAAATTCCATATATGCAAGACCCAACGCCGGATTTATGAACGTGTGAGATCCACTCAGATCTGAGCGTACGCAGCTGTTAGTAAATGCCGCGGTGAAAACTAGCGTATTAATGAAGTCACGCCTATAAATATTCAGACCCACTGCAGCACTCATCTCTCTTGAACTTTAGAATGGGGTGAATGAATGAATGAATGAATATTAAAATATCCACCTCAGTGGTGGCTCTCATCATTAACCGCTTGATGCGTCTGAGCGATCTCCGTGAGAGAGAAAGTATGCGTATGAGAAACTTTTGGAAAGTGTCACCTGATGCAGTGAAGGGCCTGACGCTTACCTCAACATGCCCTTTATCGTTCTCTCTTGTTGGTTGAGTTTCCTATGTATGTAAACAGCATTTTAATCATCACAATTCATCATTTGCTCTTACTTGTACTTTTTCTTACTTACTTTCCAAGTGTTAAAATAGCTCCTAATACCTTTTATCTTTTTTGGTGGAGGTGGCATTTTTTCTAAATCATATAAGAAGGTATTGAGACAATCAAAAACAGACACTGAAATACATCACCCTCAGCCCTTGACATTAAGCTTTAGCCACTTTCGATTCGGTCAAGTACCATTTATATCTTACTTGCCCAATGTCAAAAGTTACTCGCCCAAATATTTCTCAATACAATGAGTTAACAGGAGTTTTTGCAGAAAAGTGGCACTAAGTGACTGTGTGGATTTCTTTTCTTTTTTTATTCCACTTTCATCCCAAGTATTGACTTACAGGGCTCTCAAGTATGCAAGATAAAAACTAAAATGACCTGTTGTGGTGTGTTTTGCGCACAACCAGCATGCATCTTAACGCAATGGAAAATTTAGGTATCTGAGCTTTAATTTCGGGAGCGCTGGTAGCGCTTTGGAAGGAGACACAGGAGAGAAACGGGAGAGACACTGGGGAAATACGGGGGAGATACGGGGGAGACACTGGGGAGATACGGGGGAGATACGGGGGAGATACGGGGGAGATGAGGGGGAGATGAGGGGGAGATACGGGGGAGATGAGGGGGAGATGGGAACCCACACTTGCAAACTCCTGGGGATGGTTCTGCTCGCGCGTCTATGGTCCGAGCTCTGTACCATGTAAGGCTGTGCTTTCGCTGAGCTGTTGTCAAAGCGCTGCGGCTGTCATTACAAAGCGGCCACAGCTGCCCCGGGACAGCACAGAGGATGTAAATCACATTCGAGTTCGTACAGCACACAACAGTAAGCGCCCGCGGTCACACGTTTCACAGAAATGACATTTTCAGCGGAAAAAGGTTTTATACATTTTGAATAGTTCAGCCTTTCAACCTACTGTACCTATTTCTTTATTCGAGCCAGTTCTGTTCCGTCTCTGTGTCGTGTGAGCTCCTCAGAACATTAAACAGTACGCTGACGGATTAGAAATAACGTAAGTACTTTGAATGGTGATAGATCTACAGTACTTTTCTCTGATTACTCACGTGCTTAAACGCTCAGGGAAAGGAAAAAATAACTTGTTTCACGATGGCTGACTTATAGAAAGTAAACAGTCGCACAGAGCTTGAGTTTGGCGCTGAAGAAGACAGCCAATCACTGCAGAGAACCTAACGGGTCACGTGCTGCTGCTGCTGGCTGCTGTTGCTCTGGAGGCGAGGAGGAGGCGAGGAGGAGGCGCGGCGTTTGCACAAACTGAAGACATGTGTCCCGGACCGTCCGGGTCCCGGGACATCGTGTCATTTTGGTGGGGACATGTCCCCATGGTCCCCACGCAAACCTACGGCCATGCCTTCAACACCATCTGCTTAACTGAAGAGGACTGTTTTGCTCTGTGAGTATTGATGCTTGATGTAGATTATGATCCATGGCCTAAACACTGGTGGCAACAGAGCAAGGTGGATGTGAGTGTGTGATGCATCCTGAGGTGGAGGTGGTTTGGGCTGGAAAGGCTTTTTGGTGAGCTTGATTGGCGGCTGTAGGGAGTTGACGAAGCTGGTGTGAGGCTGAGGAAGGAGGGGCCTGGTGCGGTGACGTGGACAGTCTACCGGTCTGACGTTTCATCTGAGCTGCATTTGTGGAATAGGGTCACAAACCCACAACAAGAAATCTGTCATATCTCTCTCAAAACTCTCCATCAGGTGTTTTCACTGCGTGTAGTTTTGGCGTCTGCACATTTTTAGATTATTTTTTCAGACAGAGAAATGAACAAGAGAGGACCAGTACCGCACAATTGTCTGATTTCTCCTCAAAGTGTTTTACTCTTCGGCAACGTAGAGGAGCTGCGGTTTGAGCAAGAAGGTCCTGGGCTTGATTCCACCTCCAGGCCTTTCTGTGTGGAGTTTGCATGTTCTCCCGGTGTCTGCGTAGGTTTCCTCCAGGTGCTCCGGTTTCCCCTACCACTAAAAAACATGTACAATAGGTATTTGGGGCTTTGATGGCCCATTGTGGTCCTTGTCTCACTTCCGTCTTCACCGTGTGGAGAGAATGGAACCATATCTGAACTCTGGACATTGTAAAAGTGCTTTGGGTGACTTAGGTCTGCAAAATGCGCTATATAAATAAACATTACTTACTTATGATGAGACACATCCAGGTTCATCCCCACCTCAATTCGCCTTTAAGCAGCTGATTTGGACACCTGTGTAATGTATTAGGGCTCTTTTATTGTATTTGTTTTTAGTTTCAGTGTTTTTATGTACCCCCACTGCTGCTCTGTCTCTAAAGTTCCTCACGGATCAATAAAGTTATTTGAATTTGAATCAACATCCACCGAGCACAATGATTGACAGTGAGGTTGTGATCCACACCAATTATTTTTCTACATGTTTCATTTTAATTGGTACAAACAACCGTTAACGAAGTGTTGATGAAACCAGTCACCTGAGGATCCGACCCGTCATATTTGCACGGAGAGGTAAAGCTAAGAACAACAAGCATGCTAACAAAGGCTTCCTTGTTCTGCAGATAATAATAAAGTGTTGTGTCGATAGTTTTGAGCTGATGGATTAAAACACGGGCTGGTCCTCTGCCCTCTCTGCCCAGGACGAGGGATCCGTCTGTGGGCAGCTCCGCGGTGATGGAGGCTCCGTCTGTGGAGCTCTGACAGCCCCACATCTGCTGCTGCCCCGAGCCAAGGACATGTGTGTGTGTGTGTGCGTGTGTGTGTGTGTGAGTCTGTCTGTATCTGTGTGTGTGTTGTGTGGGCCTGTGCATGTGTGTTATTGTGTGTGTGTGTGTTTGCGCATATCTGTGTGTGTGTGTACGTGCGTGTGTGCGTATCTGTGTCTGCCTGTGTGTGTATGTGTGTGTATGTGTGCTTTGTGTGTGTCTGTGCGCGTGTGTGTGTGTCTGTGCGCGTTGTGTGTGTATGTGCGCATGTGTTTCTGTGTGTGTGTGTGTCTGTGTTTGCACGTACAGTATTTGTGTGTGTGCGTCTGTACCAGTGGGCAGCTCAAAAGTGGCCAAAATGACGTGCGCTGACATGCTGCAATACCACCCCGGGCCTGTGGGGGTGGACCCAGAAGTAGAATTAGCCAATGCTAACATTTAGCGTTAGCAGACCTCTCAAAAACGTCTTTACAGGATGGTCCAAAAGTTGTCTCTTGGCCCAAAGCTCCGTTCCACATGTGTGTCAATGCTGAGGGAGTGTTTTGGTCCACTCTAGTTTACTTGCTGTGAATTTTTGAAGTCTCTCGTTCAAATGAATGGAGCTGCGCCGGCTGAAGCTGCGCAGATGTGTTTTTTCACAATTTTCTTGTGGGCGGGACCACTCGCAGCCATCTTGGATTGCTCCAGTAGAGCACATTTTTTGGCCCATTAGTTAGAACGGCGGAGATAGGCGTGACTCTGTCCGTTAATATACACAGTCTATGGTCTGTACGTGTGTGAGTGTGTGTTTGTGGTTGAGTGGTTGTGGGTTTGTATGAGTGTGTGTGTGTCTGTATATGTGTTTGCATCTGTATTTGTGTCTGTCGTGTGTGCATGTCTGTTTGTGTTTTGTGTGTGTCTGTGTTTGCTCGTATA